GTTTCAATATCCAGTTTCCATTGGCAAGTGATAACAGTTAACCCTCAATGATTCATGAAAAGTTTTATTGTGAATCAAACATAGATTCTGCCCCCCTCAAGAGTCATAAAGAACCAGAAATAGTAACTGTAAGTGTGCCTGCTTCAAACACTGTATAAAGCAGTGGTCCCCTAACCTTTTTGGCAATAAGGACGAGTTTCGTGGAAGACAATTTCCACAGACAGAGGTGTTCCAATTTCCACAGAGAGAGGTGTTGGAGGAGATGGTTTCAGGATGAAACTGTTCCACCTCAGATCATCAGGTATTAGATTCTCATGAGCGCACAATCTAGATCTTGCATGTGCAGTTCACAATGGGGTTCATGCTCCTGTGAGAATCTAATGCCACCCAGGAGTTTGGGACCCCTAGTATAAAGCATTACACAATCAAAACTGACTGCACCATTATTTCCATTATTTGCGGGTAACTGAGTAATTAACAAGTACTTCTGTTAGGTTTCAACTTAAATCATTTTTAAGACTTATCAAATATAAATACTTTGTGAATGTAAAACTAAGCTCTCTTACAGTTTACCAAATGATGGGGACAACAATATTACAGGGTTAATAAATGACTGATTTGGCGTCTATCAGTCTTTTTCTAAGTGCTATCCGTCAGGTCTATCCACAGGAGGTAGTGCAGAAAGCAACTGGTAATTCACAGACCATCAAAGTCCCTTAACATCATGGTAAATACTAACTATAGTTTGAGAGTTTAAGTAGAAAAAAGAAGTGTACTTTTAAAGTACTAGTGTTTCCTAGTATCTGTGTAATTTGAGCAACAGTAAAACACATAAGTAAAATCAGGAGAAGCCATTTTGGAAAATACAGGGGTAATAGAAATATGTAAGTATTCAAGACTTCACTCTGCCAGCTAGAAGCAAATAACTAAATTGACTAACATGCCATGTATGAGCAAAACCTTCACCCATAAAAGGGATCGATAAACTCTTTTAAAAAAGGCTAGACAGTATTTTGACTGTTGGAAGTCATACAGACTGTTATACTACTAAACTCAGCCACCGTAGTAGGAAAGCAACTAAAGACAATACATAAATAAGCACAGCTGTTCGAATAACACTTTATTTCTGGATACTGAAATTTTAATTTAATATGTTTTCATGTGTCACAAAATATCCTCTTTCTTTTGACTTTTTTAACCATTAAAAAATGTAAAAACCAGTCTCAGCTCACAGGTAGTATAAAAAACAGGTGGCATGCTACCATTTGCCAATCTGTGCTCTGTAAAAACCTTAGAAGTTAAGATTGCCATCCTTCAGTTTCTATATTCAAAACCAATTTTGCTCTTAATTCTGTTTTCTTTTGGAAACCTCCTATTCTATAAAAATAAAAAATTCTTTAGATACTTGTTATTAAATAGTGTATCAAAATAATTGTTACACCATACTCTATTTTCAGTTCCATGATACTTTATTTTGAAGGTGATCTTCCTAGTTATATGTTGTTATCTGTTTAAGAAACAAAGCTGCCTTTTGTTGGAAATACTTATTAATTTACTGCTTTTGGGGGAGTAATACTATATTTTAACATAATCCCTCAGGGTATTTATGAATATCAATTATAATACTGTGCTATGTACAGAACAGCTCTCAGAGACTATAGGCTATCAGTTATTTCTGAAGTACATATGAGTATACAGGACAGGTTGTCTCTCTACTAAATGGACTATGCATTAAAATTCCAGCTCAATCTGCCTTTTCCATTCTCTTCAACTCATCACTTCTCAGTGCATCAATTTCTATCAGCATATAAGCTTCCTGTCCAGTAAATTTAGCTTTATCTACAATTATAAATTGGCACACTGTGGCCAAAAATATTCCCTCTGCTTCAAGTAGAGTACAAAAGTTAGTTTTTTTCTTACTTGTGACATCAACAATGGAAAATATTGTCTTCAATTTTTTGGGTAAGATGAAGGGTGATCTTTTATTCCAATGGTATTTAGAGCTTACCATGTCATATTTGGTTTTAACGGTTCTTTGGAGAAAGAAAGGCTTAGTATGTAAAGAAAAACATGATTAGGACCACACTGGAAAATTTAACATTCTATTTCAGAACTGAGTAAATTCTCACAACTGTTTACACTACTATATTAAATATTTATAGATCTTCAAACTTCAATGACTTACATTTTAATAGCTACTTGCAAAGAGCAATATGTAAAGCCTGGCACATAACAGACTTACTAACTGCACATCAGAAAGCACGAAACCCAATTTGTTTTACAGATCAAACTATCAATAAATTTTGATAAACAAATTTTTAAAACCTATTACTTAACTTTCGGCTACATTTTCCTTAAATGCTTTCAGGGTAGTTCTTACAGATTATTTAAATATGTGAGGAAAATCTAACACCTTAACAGAATTCCAAGAAAAGCTCACTTTTCAAGAATCAAATCAGTCAACTCTTGCAAATTTAACTTTATAATGAAACAGTAATTTTCAACCACGGAATATAACAGAAAATTAAGTGACTAGAGGCCTGCAGTATAATGACAGGGCGTATCTGCTAGACGGACTTCTTCATTACAGCACTACTAAATTTAACAGCCAGATTAATATTAGGGGTAGTGTCGATTTTCCATGTTTATTAATAAAATAATGACCCATAATAGAAGGCAAGATTTATTTAGAGACTAAATATATTCTAATACTTAGAAATCAACTTTTATGTTAATAAAAACATAACCCACAAATACTCATGAGAAAATACTTTGTTTAATTTGCCTTATCAATAAGATTCTTTATAACATGAAACTATTAAGGTCTGCCTATTTAAAAAATAAATCGTCCATATTTTAAAAAGGCTCTTAATAAAGAAGCAAGATGATGCTTAACTTTCTTAAAATGTTTGAACTTTTAAGACTTCAAAACCAGTCTATATCCCCAATTCATAAAATTGACGGAGTTATAAAAGGACTTGAACCTGCTTGGGTTACCAAAACCTAATACACAGCCTGAAGCTTCTTAGGCCCATCTACCAGTGCAGTTCACAGGCATCTGTATGAATCACCTGGGACTGTGTTTAAAAAGACTCACGAGGCCCACTGCAGATCTACTGAATCAGAATCGGCTTGTTCATATGCACATCCAAGTTTGAGAAGCGCTATGTTAGAAATCAAAACCTCACTCTAATGTTTCTATACAAAGGACAAGGTCCTTCTAATGGCTTAGGAATAAGATAGACATGGGTTGCAGTAATGAGGAAACAGTCTCCTCCCCACACCCAAGTTTTAGTCTAATAATGCCAACTAACTGCTGTTTTATAGCCTCCTAGGCTGAATGACAAATTAACTTCTGGAAAAATCAATTATGAAGAATATGAGATTAAACCTAGGCCTTTCTTACTGAATTAAAGTCAAAGTTGTAAGAAAAAAATTAACTCATTTATACTTTTTTTTTAAAAAGCAATTACTCTATTCTCATTCCTTTACCTTAAAAAATAAAACGGCGGGGGGGGAGGGGGAAGGGATGGCACTGGGAGTTATACCTGATGTAAATGACGAGTTGATGGGTGCAGCACACCAACATGGCACATGTATACATATGTAACAAACCTGCACGTTGTGCACATGTAACCTAGAACTTAAAGTATAATAAAAATAAAAAATAAAAAATAAAACTTCACTTATTCATGATCCCCACCATTTCCTCTAATTTTGTTTGTTGCCTCACAACTTACTCTTCACATTTTTATGATGTTTAAATTGTAACAGAGTCTTTGACTATCTTATCTTCAAGCTGTACAGAAAAAAAAAATCCATGGGCAATGTTAGAATTAAATTTTTTTTTTTTTTTTTTGGCAAGACAAGAGACTTGCTCTGTCACGCAACGGCATGATCTCGGCTCACTGCAACCTCTGCCTAATAGGTGCAAGCAATTCTCATGTCTCAGCCTCCTGAGTAGCTGAGATTACAAGTGTGCACAAACATGCCTGGCTGATCTTTGTATTTTTTGTAGAGACAGGATTTCGACCCATTGGCCAGGTCAGTTTTGAACTCCTGGACCCAAGTGATCCACCTGCCCCGCCTTCAATCCTGCTTTTAATGTTCAGGTTTAAATTCTGTTTTTGACTGTATTATCCAATAGCATTATTTAACCTGATTCAACCTTTAAGTATCTGAAATTAGAGTAAAGCAACATATGATTCAACAATGGTTTTCAAACTTGTACAAGTGGCAAAGCCGTTTTAATGATGAGGTCACTGAAATACTGAAAATTTAAATCTACTCTAAAATTCAAAATAGATTTCATACATATAAAAATGATGGGCCAGGAGCGGTGGCTCACACCTGTAATTCCAGCACTTTAGGAGGCTGAGGCAGGTGGATCATCTTGAGGTTAGAAGTCCGAGACCAACCTGGCCGATATGGTGAAACCCCATCTCTACTAAAAATACAAAAATCCGGTTGTGGTGGCAGGCGCCTGTAATCCCAGCTACTCGGGAGGCTGAGGCAGGAGAATCGCTTGAACCCAAGAGGTGGAGGATGCAGTGAGCCGAGACCGCACCAGTGCACTCCAGCCTAGGCAGCAAGGGCGGAACTCCATCTCAAAAAAAAGAAAATGGCCGGGCGTGGACGCTCACACCTGTAATCCCAGCACTTTGGGAAGCCAAGGCAGGCAGATCACATCATCAGATCAAGACCATCCTGGCTAACAGTGAACCGCTCTCTACTAAAAATACAAAAAATTAGCTGGGTGTGGTGGCGGGCACCTGTAGTCCCAGCTACTCAGCAGGCTGAGGCAGGAGAATGGCGTGAACCTGGGAGGCAGAGCTTGCAGTGAGCCGAGATGCACTCCAGCCTGGGTGACAGAGTGAGACTCTCTCAAAAAAAAAAAAAAAAACCAACAAAAAGATACTACACTACACTCCTGTATGCCACTATTTTTTTCTTCTTAAATATGCATAAGACAATTAAGACACCACATTTGAGTGTTCTTATTATTATCTGACATTTGTTTTATTAACCATTAGAAAAGATTTGAAAAAACGAATTCCATTTTAATAGTGAGAACACAGTGGAGCTAATCATGGAATATTAATGTTTTGCTATTTGGGAATTACTAAGGGGGAAATTTGCAGGAAATTTTAAGGCAAGAATATTGCAAGTTAGTTGCCAAAAATATATGCTTATAGCCATAGCAAAATGAAGATTCAGCATGCTTGTCTTTGCTCCCAAATACTTTAAATGCAACCTTATTAAACTACAATGTTTTTAAAATTAATGCTTGTGCTCACATAAAATTCAGTGATTTAAGTACATGATACTCACTTGGTCACATTTTCTGCTATTACTGTTCGGCTTCCCAAGAATTTCATTCAATCAGCAAGTTTAGTTCACACAAATGTTAAGGCACATAGTCATGAAACGAGCTAATTTTAATTCTGAAGTGTGTTAGGAACGTAACCTGCTCCCCTATGCCCCAAACACATATACATACCTGCTTATTCATACCTGTTTGCTAAAAACTCATGTGCACCTCTTTACTGTTAATTTGGGAAATAGATGATGTAAAATGTAAATCATAATTATAATTCCTTCTAAAGAAATTAGTATTTTTCTCTAGTTTACTTCAAGCCACAATCCCTAATTCAATGATCCCAGAATTCTTTATAAAACCATCCTTGGTATATGAATATCTTATTTAGACCCAAAAATATCTGTGGTTATGATGAATTTATGATGATGAAAAAAGACACCAACTTTTATAGGGGCTGATGAAAAAAGACACAAAGTTTTATAGAGATCCCTGAATACAGGAGAGCTAACTAGGCACAAGGATTAAACTTTCTATGACTTGCTGTAGAACGTGTACCTTGCTAAGTAGGGATTAGCTTCTGAATAAAATGTGAAAACTGGGATCACTCACTCATTCTATTCAGAGAACAAGTGAGATATATTGTCAGTTTAAAAAGATGAAACAAATATGGGAAGTCAGGCACTAATATTAGTTGGCAAAATTTACAAAGGTTTTAATTACATACCTATTTAAAGAAAGAAAACCTAGGCAAAACAGACACATATTAAAAACAACAGTTTCAAATTTCTTCCAAGTTTGCTTTTAGATGAAGGTTTAAAAAGCAGATCAACTCTAGATTTCGTACAGTCCAACTTGCTGTGAAATACTGAAACTAACTTTCCTTTAAGAAATGTAAGGAGGCACACTTTCTAGTGGCTGATACCCTCTTCCAAACCAAAAGTAGTAAGAAGGTAAGGGTAGGAACAGCAAAGTTGTTGTGTAACATTTTCTTATTTCTATAATTTTACTTATACTGGATACTTTTAAAAAATAAATTCATGTTTTAACTAAGACTGTTAACTAAGTACAAAACTATTGTTGTTGTATTTGCAGATACAGAATCCTACAAATATGTGCAACAAGTCCATGAAGCACTTCTACCGTCCATACTGATATTTCAGTATTTAATATATACAAAATGTTTCTATTGAACAGAACCAAGGTATTCACAATAAGCTGCAGAAAAACCCATGCAGTTAACGAAGAATGAAATTTATAAATTAAAAACACTGTCATCTATACATAATGTACAATCATGCATTTAAAAATCAATACGTCTCATAAGAATAAATTTTCACAGTCAACTGCTGCTGCACGAATATTTGCTAATGCAAATGAATAAAATCTTAGTAAATTCTGTATTAATATTTTAACCCCTAGAAGTTGCAACTTTTCTCATTTTTCTTGAAAGCTGTCCAAAGTTGACATATGCAGGAAAAGTTTCAATTCCTTCGTATTTCATTTGAGGTTTTTAACCAAAAACAAACTTCCTAAACCTCAGGCCCAACAAACATGAATTAAACAAACAAACGAAAGTATAAATACCTTTATCAGTTCAGCAAAAACTCAAAGAAAAATATTCAATTTTACTTAAAGTATTTTAACATGTTTCACCAGAATATGCACAGGTTTAAGAAAGTATGAAATAAACTGTATAGTTCTATTATCAGTTTTGCTTTCACATCTCAGATCATTAAGTTTCCTGAAAAACCACACGTAGCAGCCAAGAAAATACATTATATGAAAAAAAAGATCTTACATAATGAACTTACAAAATTGAACTTACACAATAAGCCACTGTCCTTCAGGGTTTGAAATGTTATCAACTTTGCAAACAGTCTCTTCTTTGAAATTGTGCTATTATTTCAGAACTTGTTTCCTCAATCAAGAAATCCAGTGATGTTTAAAAAAAACCTTCAATTTTCTCTTAAAATACTAAATAGAATTTTCATGGGATGGTGATCTCCAACGTGACTGTAGATTTTTTATTACACAGTTTGCCATACTACTTAGTTTCTCATGCATTTCAAATAGTTGGCTTCCTGAATAATTATGAAGATCTTCTGAATCCAGCTGAAGAGCAAGAGCACTAATCTGTGCCACAAGATTTTTGGATAATGGAGTTTCTAACGGAACAGGATCAATTATATCTAAAAGAGAAAAAAAGCACAACTAAATCTATACCAGACAAAAACTAAATTATTTACATGATCTTTTAAGTTAGTCCAAGTGCCTAGGTTTCAAATTGAAAGCGCAGGCTTAGGTACCTCACTCTCCATGAGGACAAGTGGACAAAAAAAAATCTACCATAGCTGCTGCTTATTATCATTCTTCTTATTATTATGAGATAGAGCCTCATTCTATTGCCCAGGCTGGAGTGCAGTGGCGTAATCTCGGCTCACTGCAGCCTCTGCCTCCTGGGTTCAATCCATTCTCCCACCTCAGCCTCCCAAGTAGCTGTAATTACTGGCATGCACCACCACGCTAATTTTTGTATTTTCAGGAGGGACGGGGTTTCATCATGTTGCTGAGGGTGGTCTCAAACTCCTGACCTCAAACGAACCACCCACCTTGGCCTCCCAAAGTGCTGGGATTACAGGCATGAGCACCATGCCCAGCCTACCACAGTTTATTATTCTGTGCTATTCTCATAGATTATTCTGTGCTATTAAAGAAATTTAAAAATGGGTAGACTACTTCATTTATTAATATGACTAGAAGTATATAGTTTATATCCTTGAGACCTTGATGGAGAAGTTGACAAGAAAAACAAGTAGACACATTTGATGTCCATTCGTTTAGTTTTTCACATACTTCACATTAAACATAAAATAATTGTTGAAATAATAAGGCATGGTCAAATTAGATTAAAACTGAAAACAAAATATTTCAAGAAAGTCAGCTGATCTTCTAAATAAAATTATCCCACTTTGCTAAAATATACCTGAGGCAAGTCTTTCTTCATCAGGTGACAAAGATTTATTTTCTATTCCATTTACTGTTTTTTCAGAAATATCAAAAACTGGAATCTCTTCTAGTCCACGAGTCTTCACCTTGTTTACACAGTTGGAGCAGAAAAAAGGCAAAACAAAACCAAAAACAAAAACAAATTAAAATTTACTTTTAATAGGAGTAATAGTACAAACACTGGAAAACATATTGTATGAACCTATGTTCTACCTCCCATCACAATTAAGAGCTAATACTGCTAAGAAAGTAGGTTCTAACTTCACAAAATACAGCATTACAAATTATTTCCTCAAAAAGAGGGTTAGAATTTAATAATATTTCATAATGGTTTTCTCAGGAAATATAGCCATGGCAGCTAAGAAAATTACATTCTATTTCCCAAGTTCAAGAATGTGGTATAAAAAAGTCTATACCAGAGACTTCCAAGCTTAAATAAAATACAGATTTTTTTTTTTTTTTTAAAGAACACAATTTTCTGGCTGGGCGCGGTGGCTCACCCCTGTAATCCCAGCACTTTGGGAGGCCGAGGTGGGGAGATCACTTGAGGTCAGGAGTTCCAGACAGCCTGGCCAACATAGTGAAACCCCATCTCTACTAAAAACACAAAAATTAGGGTGCCTGTAATCCCAGCTACCTGGGAGGCTGAGGCAGGAGAACTGCTTGAGTTCAGGAGGTAGAAGCTGCAGTGGGCCGAGATCACGCCCCCATGCACTCTGGCCTGGGTGACAGAGTGACACTGTCTTTAAAAAAAAAAATAAAATAAAATAAAATTTTCTTAAGTGTTTCTAGGACTTACGGACCACTGGTTGAGAAAATACTAAGTTCAGTAAGTTAACTTTCTGAAAATAGTAAGTTCAGTAACCATATGACTCAGCAATTCCACTTCCGGGTATATATACAAGAGAAATGAAATCATCTATCCATATAAAAACTTGTAGACACAGCAGCATTACTCGTAATAGCAAATGGTGGAAACAACCCAAATGTCTGTCAACTGGATAAACAAAATGTGGTATATACATATAATGGATATTATTCAACCTCAAAATGCAAACTTTTGAGGATAAACCTTGAAAACATTATGCCAAGTGAAAGAAGCCAGTCACAAAAGATCACAAGTTGTACAACCCCACTTTTATGAAATACCTAGAACAGGCAAATCTATAGAGGAAAAGTAGGCATTGGCTGGGCAGTGGAAATGAGGAGTGATAGCTAATGGGTCAGTGTTTCTTCTTTGGGTGATGAAAAAAGACTCAAAATTAGATCATGGGGAATATTATTTAACTGAATATATTAAAAACTAATTGTACATATAGGGTAGGTGAATTTCACAAAATGTAAACTGTATCTTAGGAAAGCTCGTAAAAAAACCTAATTCTCATAGACTTTCCCAGGACCCATGGAAACTGAATAAGAAAATACTTTAGAAACTAAATCTGTGAGACAGAAAATTACTAGTAGTTTTGGTTCTCTCTTATGAGTAACCGGTTAACAAATGTTTAGAAGATCACAAGTAACTTAATATAAAATCAAGGACCTTCAAGAATACAGCAGAAGTCTTCAGTGGCTGGCAAACCCCAGGTCTGAGAAATTCTGATTCAGAACACTGCTTACTCTATTTTTCATGTATTCAAAACTTCTGATACAGGTTGAGTATGCCTACTCCAAAAACGGAATGTTTTTTGGATGGAATGGAATCCAAATTTGAAGCTTTTTGAGCACTGACATGATGCCTAAATGCTCTAATGAGTGTTTTGGATTTCCAGATTAGGGATGCTCAACTGACAAGTAGCTGTATAATGCAAATATCCCAAAATCGAAATAAATCTGCTGAAGTCCGAAACATTTCTGGCCCTAAGCAATTCAGATAAGGAATACTCAAAGGAATACTCAATCTGTACTGCCAATGGATAGAGGGTCTCTGAATGGGTTTCAGTAGTCTGAATCCTTCTGAAATTATACACAAAATATTCTGTATAGTTTTATAGCAGGGAAGAATCTTAGCTTTCATCACCATCTTGAAAAATGCCCAATGACCCAAAATGTTCAAGTGCACAATACTGACAAAAAGGAAAAGTAAGAAAAGTAAGTCACAAATGTGGTAGGCATCAAAATCAAAATACTGTGACCTACAAATTTGTGTGGTTTTGGTAGATATTTGGATTTGAACATCTAGGTTATAGCAGTAGCAGCCATGGAATCAAATACCAAATGGTGGAAATGAAAGAGAGAAGGGGATGAACAGAACTCAAAGAGAAAACAATTTAAACATTTATCTGAGGTGCAATACATAAAGACAGTACAAAATAAATGAATCAATTTCCCTGTGCCATTACGAAGTGATCTTTTAACAAACTTCTGTAACTGTACTGCTACGTCATTTATTTATATACATCGTAGCTAACATCTAAGTTTTTACCTGCTGCTCATGATATATTCTGAGAGCCTTTTTTACATTCGACACTTTTGGAGAACGGATAGGAAGAGTTTTTATTTCAGATGCTGTAAGAGTACTCAAATCACCAATAGTTTTTATATTCTTAGCTCTAATGAGTTGTCCCAGGCCTCTTGCCCTACACAAAACAGAAACAGGAAATTATAATTATACAATTTTACTTATATGCTATTTGCAAGGGTTTATCCAGTTGAATTTCTCCATTTAAGCTCAATCATAACTGAGGTTTGCCCACAGTGAAGACAGGCACATGTATGTGTAATTTAAAATAAAATTCGAATCTGATGTGTGTGTCTGGTATAAGCAATAGTACTGGAAACTGAATGAGCCTATTGCGTACCTTGTGCTTTACATACATCTCTTTAATAGATAATTCTTAAGTATGCATAATCGCCTCCCCAACTTTAATCAGAAATGGACTTGGTATGTCTGACACACATTATTAAATCATTAAATTCCTCAGAGAATTTTAAGAATACTTCATCTCCTATTGGGGATTATGCCATGACAGGGCAGCCTGATTAACAGAGAAACTATCTCAAGGCATCACAAACTACCTAAAACAATTCTTTTAATCAAGATAGAGTGAACGATCTACACGCAGGCATTTAAGTTTCCAAGACTTAATACATCAAGAAAATAAACTTCTAATTAGAAACAAAACAAAACACCTGATCAACAGGTTTTATGTATGTGAGTCTCATGCTTCTTACACATGATGACTTAACAGCTATGTAGTTTTGGTGGTAATCTTTGTAAACTACATCCTATAAAGTAGAAATGATATTCATATATTCCTCATAAGGTTTATATTTGGATTAAACAAGATAATGGATATAAGGGTTCAATGCAGCACCTGAAATATTACGCATACATCTTACTATATTAAGATAAATGTTTCTCATATTGCCTTATCTGGCCTACCTTCTCAGTTGTATTTTTATTTCAAAAATAAAATGTGTGTGAGAGGAATACATGCCAATCAATTCTAAATATGAGAACCAAGCATTCAAAACAGTCTTCTTAAATAAAGTGGCATCTTGGAATATAACCAAGAAGCCTAAATAACCACTTACCACATGTTTGATGTAATCTGAGGTAAAATGATGTCAACTGGTGCCACACAGTTCACCAAAGCTGGGTAAACACTTTCTGTTGGGCATGGTATGGACTCTTTGGCCATTTCTGAAATCTTAGAATAAATTTCAGAAGCTGTTACACAGAGGTCAACTGACTGAACATGAAAATATAAAGTGACATGAAAACTAAAGCACTTCTTACTAAACACTTCTTTGAGCTCTTAAATTTAGGGCTACGTGATCCTGGGGACAGAAATCCTTTGGCTGAAGTGGTATTATGCTAGATAGAAGAAAGGAGAGAAAAAAACACTCAGAACCCTAGATGACTATAATTTTACAATTTTTACAACTTAGACTGCAATCATGTCTTTAAAATTTCAAAAAACATAAAAAGAGTAATCTACTACCTAATCAATTACTTGCTGGATCATTACTGCCTCTTACCACCTCTTCTCTTCCTTTCTGCTTACCGTGTAGCAGACAAAAGAATATATTTCAAACCAAGGAAGAAGTTTTTCAAATATGTAGTTTATTTTATGACACATCATGCACATGTAATTCTGTGTCTGTATACGTATATGTACATTTTAAAGCCTATAGCTTACCTTAGATTGTGTAGTAGGAGAAGTTTTCACACTTTTTCCTGTAGGAGAACTATTTGAAGAATGGGACCTAACAATAGAGCATCGTCTATCAATGTCATCTGCCAATCCTGCTTGGTATATTGGATCTGCAAAGGAGACACGGCGAACCTGAAAACACAGGTCAGGATTTTACTTAACAAAATTAAAGTTTTTAAAAAATTACACCATACATTTTCATTATGAGATTACCCAAAAATAGAACGTGGGTTTCCCAAAAATAGAACGTGGGTTTAGAAAAAAGTCAGCTGCACAGTTCGTAGCAACTGCCTTCACAGATCATATTAACTCAATACCTCGATTCATTCTAATTTTCTATATGTTAAACTGTCTCTGCATAATACCAAAGACTGTGAAAAAGGTATAGTAGCAAAAACTGAACAAAGCCACATGTGGCAGGCAGAAGTGTATGATCTAGATTCTAGTAAGTTTATGGGATTACCAGATGAGAAAGAAAACTGATGTAAAAACAGAAATAGGCCTGGTGCGGTGGCTCATGCCTGTAATCCCAGCACTTCGGGAGGCCGAGAAAAGCAGATCACCAGGTCAGGAGTCCAGTATCAGCCTGACCAACATGGTGAAACCTTATCTCTACTAAAAATACAAAAATTAGCCGGGCTTAGTGGCGCATGCCTGTAATCCCAGCTACTCAAGAGGCTGAGGCAGGAGAGTCCCTTGAATGTGGGAGGCGAAGGCTGCAGTGAGTCGAGATCGTGCCGCTGTACTACAGCCTGGGCGACAGAGTGAGACTCCATCTCAAAAAACAAGCAAGCAAGCAACAAAACAAAACAAAAAACTTAATCTCTAGATTCTCAGCAGAAGAATTTTCAGTGGATCTTGCAAAGTTTATACACCATATGAATAACAGGAACAGGGATTTTGAAGAAACTTTTTTTTTTTTTTTTGAGACAGAGTCTTGCTCTGTCGCCAGGCTGGAGCGCAGTGGTACAATCTCAGCTCACTGCAACCTCTGTGTCCTGCGTTGAAGCAATTCTCCTGCCTCAGCCTCTCAAGTAGCTGGAACTACAGCTGTGCGCCACCACGCCCAACTAATTTTTGTCTTTTTAGTAGGCACAAGGTTTCTCCATGTTGGTCAGGCTGGTCTTGAACTCCCAACCCTCAGGTGATCCACCCGCCCTGGCCTCCCAAATCCCACGCCTGGGATTACAGGTGTGAGCCACCTAGCCTGGCAGAAGGAACATTTTCAAAGTATGTTCGTTGAAGGCAAAAAGCCAGGTGTCATGTCTATATATGCACGCTTGTATATATAAAATGTATTCTACAATGAATAGTAGGTTCAAGTTCAAAATTAAGGAATGCCAACATCATACCTTTACAGTACATCTATTTTGTTAAGTAGAAGACAAGCTGAGTTATGTAAATACATTTAACTTTTCCTACTTTTTAATTCATTCAACAAACTATGTGAAAGGCACAGGGCCTGAAGCTAAAGCAGATATATATATTATAATCCAACTTTTCTAAAGTAAAAGATCTATAATTTAGCTGAGGAAATGGGGATATAAATAACTATAAATAAGATCATATCTACAAGTTGATGAAGGCATATGAGATTTAATTAGATATGGTCTGGAACACATATGTAAAATGTAAAACAGCATAATGTTTCAACACATAACAACTGTTAAATCTGCTTTATCAATGGCAGTGTTGCCTATATTCCTAAATCTGTTTCCTCATATTATGGTATTGGGAGCCGAAAAGATGTTAGGAGCCTTATCAATTTTGCCAAAAGTGAACAATGTGCAAAGCTGCATAAAGATCTTTAGTGCTGTAAAACGAAAGATTTATCTAAAAAGCTTCAGTCTCCTTTTTTCAAAACCTTTTCTTCTACCTATCTTTTTCCTAGCAACCATTATGGTAAATAATCAAATGAGTGACCATATAATAATATTTTGTCATTCACCAGAGGTCACTGTATGGCCAAAATATCCCAACCAAATACTGGGTTCCTTAATATTCAGCCTCATTCTCCTTACCTTGTTAACAGGGGATGAGATTTCCTCTTCTTGGGATCTTTTTAGTCCTCTCTTTAAAATGCTCGTAGATGGAGAAGCCAAAGGAGACCAGACACAGCGTGTCTGCATGCCACTAGGACTGTCATTTGCTGACAGAAGTGAAGGATCAAGTTCCCTTAGTTTTTGAGGAGATGCATTATTGTCTTCTGTTATTAGTGCAGAGATAGCTGTTCCAGATGTCAGAGACTGTGATGGTTCCTCCACTTTCTCTGAAGTATGGTGATCTTCCTGTAAAATATCACTTTCCATTACCATGTGATTGCTATCTAATTTTTCTTCAGATTTACTACATTCAGTATTTGTTTCAGTTTTATTAGCGTCAGTGAGTCCTTCTTCGGTGCTCATTTCAACTGTGTCACGAACAAAGTTTTCCACTTCTGCAGTCAACATTTTTGTTTCAGCTTCATCAGGCTTTGGGGTTTTGGTATTTATGCCCTCATTCTCTGTTTCACCATCATGACCAGTTTCAGCCTTCACCTCGCCAATCATCATATCTTCATCATTTTTCATTTCTGTATCTGTTTCTTCAGATGAGTGTGGATCAGACACATCATTTAGTTCCCCAGCTGCTGTTTGATCAGAAATCTCAGTTTGAGCATTCAATTTTACAGGTGTAGTATTATCAGAAAGACTAATATCTGAATTAAATTCCTCAGTTGCTACTTCTTTAGCATTCAGTTTAGCTGTGTCTGCTTCAGAGTCATCATTTCTTTTATTTTCTATTGCTGCTTCTTCAGAAATACCAGTTTTGGTTGTCTCTTGTTCACGGAAGCTAGCTTCATTTCCTACATCCAATTCCATAGTTTCTACTTTCTCTAGATTGGATTCTGTTACTTTACATGCATTTCCTTCAACAGTAACATTCTCGAGACTCATTTCCATTTTGGGGGTTTCTTCTGGTTTTTCTTTTGTCTCCAAAGATTCCTGTGAAACATTTTTCGAGTCACCTAAACACGGGCCAACAGTTTTAAAATTTTCATTAGGTGACTCTTGGCTTTCAAGAGACATTGCTTCACTAGAATCCATATCACAAGTTTCCTCTCCAAAGTTTACTATTCCAGAAGGAAGAGATTCTTGCATAGTGTTTTCTTTTGATTTGGTTTCAGAAATAATTAATGAATCATTAATAGTATCATTATCCTCTTTGAGACCCAAATGAAAATTCACACTATGATGTTCATCTAAATATTGTCCTTCAGAATATGGATTAGCTTGAGAAGTTTCTGACATGCTTACAGGTGCTTGCGCATCTGCCTTTTTTGTTTCACTAACCTCTATATCATTATTTTCTGTATTCTTTAACCCAACGAGTGACTTTTCCTGAGGCTGTGATTTTTCCCCACAGCAATCACAACCTTTAGATCTCCTCACTCTCCTACTTCTCTTGTGTTGGCATTCAAGTGTTTGAAATGTTTTTTCTGAAAGCGAAGAAACATCTGATATGCCGATTTTTGAGGATTCTCCCAAACTACAATTATCAAAAGAGTCTCGCTTATGTAATCTCTTAATGGCATTTCTAGTCCTTAGATTTGATTCTGGCACAGGTAGACTTGTAAAGGAATGTTCAGCATATTTGCTAGTTTCATTTTTTTCCTCACATGGATTTGGTAAATCATCAGGAACTTGCAATAAATCTGAAGTTACTGTAGAATCCTGACATATTACAGTACTACTTTCATCTTGTTTTTCACAAATCTGAGGTTTTATGTTTACGTCTTCTTGGGAACTTGCTTTACCATCATGTGACTGATTTTCAGCTTTTATACATTCCTGTTTCACCACTTTCTCTTCTTGATCTTGAATGTCAACACTTTCGTTGCTTTTGTTTTTCCATTTTCCAGATCTCTTCTTCCTAGAACCTTCTTCTTTTGCCTCCGAACTATCAGATTCTGAGTTTTCAATGCTGGAAAGCAAACCCTGAGAAGCTCTTCTTGTTTGATACCGTGTTCGGCCTCTGACTAGTTTCTCAGAGGACTTATCTATATCCTGACTACCATCCCCCTCAGACTTAATGTTATCAGGGTCTGGCTTTTTTTTGTTTTGTTCAGTTTCTGCATTAGCACTGGTTTCCCCAAGAGTCTTCTCATGTAAATTATTTCCTTTCTCAATTAAATTCTCTGGTACAGTTTGTTCAGAAATCAGTTTTTGTTTAGGTAAAACATCATCTTTTATATGCAACGGACTCTTCTGAAGAGGTTTTTCTTCTTCCTTACGTCGTTCCTTTTTTTGATGATTATTTTCTTTATCTTGGCTTTCAGTGGTAGACTCTATTACTTCTGAACGTCGCCTTGACGACCGTCTAAGGGTTTTCTGATTTGGAGTTATCAGAACCAGACTATCCTCATTTACCAACTGATCTGTTGATAATACTACTGGGGGTGTATTTTCTTTGGATTCCAAATTAATTTCTACATTTTTCTCCTCAACAGTGTTAGTTTCCAATAATACAGCATTTTCCATTGTTGCTGCTTTAAGCTTTGTATTGTCATGCTCCATTACAGATTCAGAAAGATGAACCTGATTATCTGACACACATTCTGTTTGATTAAGCAAACCAGATGGGTTATTTTCTAAGACTACCATGCCTTCAATAGATTCCTCAGTATTTTTCTCCTGCTCAGATTTTATTAAGGGCTTAGACCTTTTATTCCCTGTTTGTTCAGCTTTACCAGCTCTCCGGCTTGATCTCTTAGTTCCATTCACTATTTTTTCAGAATCAGATTTTGAAAAAGTCCCTTCTCTTTGCTTTGCTTTTGGTAGAAAATCTGTTTTAATCATGGTTTCCTGGTTATTTTTCACTGTAACAGTTGATGAAATATTATTCAAGGGGGATGGACTAAAAGGTCTATTTTCTGAACCATCAAACTTCTCCAAAGTAATAAAGGTTTGCCTCCGACTTGTAGGGCATGGGGGAGTTCCAGAAACAGTGGCATTAGAAACTGAACTACTGCTGACAACGAAAGAATTTTCTGTACTAGATGCACATTCAGTTGATGTTTTCTTTGATGAAATTAAAGCTTTTTTTCTGTCATCATTATTACTGTTCGACATTTCTGGACTGGTTTTGTCAAGAGAACCACACTCATTATTTGAAAGGGAGGCCTTTTCAAGATGTTCATCCGTACCACGGTCTTCCGTGACATCTTGAGGAATGACAATGTCACTGTCCATTTGCTCCTCCTGCACAGAAATACATATATATATACACACACACAGATTAATAGCTGGCAAACGAGTTTGACTTTCTGGGAAAACTTTAGTGTAAAACTTCAGTAACCCAAAGATAGTCGCTGACATAATATATGGCAACTATTCCAAAGTTAGTGGTAGATACCTAATAGTTTGTGTTCCTAATAGTAAACATTCAAGAAAAGCCAAGTACATTTATTTTACACACACACACACACACACGCACGCACACTGACTAGTGTCTGCTGATATTCTGCTAGTATCTGAATGGGAGTTAACAGGAAATCATACAATAAATCTACAATAAATCTTAAAATTAATAAATGGAAGACCTACAGACATTTCAGCAGTTTAATAGACTGTATAATAGAAGGGTGATTCTAAAAAGCCCAAAATATGAAATGCCAAACATACCGTAATCATCATCTTAGAATCTTCTTTTGGTTTTCTGGTTAAAGTAGGAATTTCCCTGAAATAAACATAAGAATATTGCTTTTATAATTATTTGACAATGAATAAAACAGATATAAAAGTTTGATGGCTTCTGTACTTACATAGACTCTTCCTGACTATACTGAGTAAATAAGGTATCCTGGGAAACATCCAGATTATTATACATGGCAGGAATATCACACCTGAAAAAAACTGTATATAAGTAACTTCAAAAACCGGATGATATCCTGACAATTAGCAATTAAACTTATGGCCAGGGATGGTGGCTCACGCCTGTAATCCCAGCACTTTGGAAGGTTGAGGTGGGCGGGCTGCTTGAGCTCAGGAGTTCAAGACCAGCATGGGCAACATGGCGAAATCCTCTGTCTACAAAAAATAAAAAATTAGCTGGGTATGATGGCATGCATCTGTAGTCCCAGCTACTTGGGAGGTTGATGTGGAAGGATCACTTGAGCCTGGGAGGCAGAGACTGCAGTGAGCAGAGATCATGCCACTGTACTCCAGCCTGGGTAACAGAGAGAGACTCTGTCTCAAAAAAAAAAAATAAAACAAAACATCAAAAGAAACTTACAATTCTACTAAATTATTATAAAATCATAACCTAAAGGTGTATTTCCCAGATATTCCATCAAACTGTCTTCCCCTCCCAATCTACCTCAGAGAAGAAATTCAGTTTATAAATATTTGGTACATTACCAGGTTAGCTTTATACATTATGAAATGCATTTATGTACAGTATAACTTTTGGCATTAAAATTCAGTACATGTGGCTGGGTGCGGTGTCTCACGCCTGTAATCCCAGAACTTTTGGAGGCCGAGGCGGGCGGATCACAAGTTCAGGAGATCGAGACCATCCTGGCTAACATGGTAAAACCCCGTCTCTACTAAAAATACAAAAAAATTAGCCGGGCATGGTAGCACGCGCCTGTGGTCCCAGCTACTCGGGAGGCTGAGGCAGGAGAATGGCGTGAACCCAGGAGGCAAAGCTCACAGTGAGCCGAGATTGCACCACCACACTCCAGTCTGGGCGACAGAGCAAAATTCCATCTCCAAAAAAAATTAGTACACGTATTTTAGTTCTAAACACAAAGTTATAGTTTTCTTGCATGAAATCTAAGCTTGAATATCAAATACCCAACTCAAGATAAAAGGCCTACAAACCGCTTTGTTTTGAGAACTTCTTTTTGATGCTCAGTTAAAATTCTTTCCTTTGCATCTTTTCCTTGTGGAGGTATAAACACAAAGTCAGTAGACTTTTCCTCTTCCAAAAGAATTTCATTCTTTACTTTTAAAGATGAAGATTCAAGTTTCAGCTGCAGATTTGAAAAAATAAGCAAATGTACATTTTAGTTTCCAAATTATTTTCCAATATTTCTATCACTCTCTTCTAATAATGACACCATTTTTCAATAGTGATTACGAAGTTCATGATACTCATGATGAATAACAAATTAGTACAATGTTCCCCACTTTCTTTCTGCATCTAATAAGTACTGAGAAAGTAGAAAATATTAAATCTCTTTACAAAGCAGGCAAGTCTGTGCTTAACTACAAAGTATGGACAAAACCGTTTGTCAGGCCAACACATGGAAATGAACTGATTTGGAGGGAGGAGAGTATATTTGCAGCTCTCAAGTTGAGGCAGGACTTAGTCAAGTAAAAGTCACCAATACAATATGCCCTACATACAATTAACTTTGGTACTACAATGTTATCTTAATAAATGTTCATTGGAACCATTGCTTTAATTCTACTTATAGCTGCTACAAGAATGTGGCAGAGGTATTCTTAAAAAATAACACTTTTCTTTCATTTCACCAGGGCCATGGTCTCAAGATTCTAGAATAACCTTTACTGGAGGCCATGGAAGAAAGAATTGTTGTCTAAACGTCAGTTAACTGGCAACCAGCATGATACTTAGTTCAGATTTGAGCTTAACATAGGTGTCTTATCTAGGCATTATTTATTTCTAATCAAAATATTAAGTTCTGAAATAACAATTCTAAACAAAAGTTCTAAAATATTTTCCTCTTGTGCTACCTATGTTATTCATAACTGTCTCATTCCATCTCGAGGGGGCTGCTGCCTGGAATAACTACATGTAACAGTTACATAGAAACTTATCTTTCCTAACCAGGAATCATCACCCAAGGCTTCCAGGTTACCATGCTATCCTGGTACTGCTAAGCATTACACAGAAACTTATCTTTCCTAACCAGGAATCATCACCTAAGGCTTCTAGGTTACCATGCTATCCTGGCAGTCTTTCTAGACCAAATGCTCTCAATTCCCCTGCAATCCCAACCTTTATTTAGTCTTTTAGTTTTTCAATTCAATTTTCAAAGTTGTATGTAAGTTACTATATACTTTATCTTTAAAAATTTGATTAAATATACTTTTGAAAACATACTTTGGCTGCTGGTTTCGTATTTTCTTTTTTATTCTTTGTTTGTGCCAAAAATGAATCTCTTTTTCCATTTGATTTTCTCTCCATGCCACTTATCTTCACATTTAATTGTGAATTTTCTGTCTGTTTTAATAAAAACGAAACAATTTCATTAAATACAACAGCAATATTTTGCTTTTCCTTTTCACGTTTTAAAAATTCCTGCCCAATAAATAGTAATTGCAAATAATGTCAAAATTTTTCTAATTATTCAATCCTATAAAAATCGAAGAAAGGAAAGTCACTGTCTAATTCAATAATCGCAAATGGCTTTGGTGTCTCTTTTATACTAGCTGTTTAATACCAATCAATTTTATGAATTCTGAAAATGAGACATATCACATAAATACATAAAGTGAATTAAATTACTAGATTCAAACACTCTAGCTGTAACTGAAAATATTTCTAAGAGAATATTCAAAGCCATAGAACTTTAAACATTAAACAACTGAGGGTTAATAAAGCATGTATGATAGAGCATATTTCCCCTCAACAGAATTTTACAGATGAAATACCACTGAACTCTTTAACAAGTCTAAATTGTTAGTTATCTGGCAGAAAATTTTTACTTCAGCCAAAACCAAATGCGATACTTAGTTGGCTATTAACAGTCTTTTTTCTCTGAAAGATTCTAAACAGAAACTACCTATACCCTAGCTGCTCCTGAACAGATAATAAGTTTTCTAAGAACACTCCAGCTCACAACTCTATAGTACTAGTGCCTTTAACTCCTAGATCTTCAGGCAGTAATAAAATATTATTAGCCAAAGAAACTTTGCTCCTAATGCGATGTGACAGCAAAGATGTGTTTTTCTGATAGAAGAAATGAGAAAATCAATTTTTAAAAAATGAGAAAATGAACAGCAGCTCTGGCTTAGACATGACTTAGTAACCATTATTTCCAGTTTCTCCAAAGCAACAATTACGTATTTTACGCTTCGTGAACAGCACAGATGAGGTACCTGAGTTCAAAACAAATGATTAATGACAAGAATTAGAGATTATTTACATAAGAATCTCTAGTGAAAATCACAAAAGTAATTTTAGGCCACACAACTGACAAAATGCAAAAAGCCTATGTTACAAACCTCTTTTCTGTTCAGGTTCTACTTATTTATAACTTTCAACAAATAACTTAAATGTTCAAAAACAAATGAACAATAAAACCCCCCAACTTACTCCATCAGAATATGGTCCACTGGATTCCTCCATCATTTCAACAGTTTCCAAACCAGGCAACAGGAGCAGAAACTTTTGTTTGGCTTGCGTTAGTACTGGTCTTTAAAAAAGTACATAAAATACACACCTTAAGTCAAGTAGTACTGGTGAACACTGATGACCTGTTAATAACAGCACTTTAATTTTTAGAGCAGCAAAATACATCTTTATTTTTAAATAAAGACTGTTCCTTACTATGCATATATAAAACTGGGAGAAACTAGGCAATTTTTGTATTTTTCCCTGTAGTTTTCTGAATTTCCAAATTTTTATCATGGAAAATTCCAATAAGAAGTAGAATATTATATAAAGTATTCATGTCTAGCTTTAATAATTGTCCAGGCACGGCATGGTAGCTCACGCCTATAATCCCAGCACTTTGGGAGGCTGAGGCGGGCGTATCATGAGGTCAGGAGACCGAGACCATCCTGGCTAACACAGTGAAACCTTGTCTCTACTAAAAATACAAAAAATGAGTCAGGCATGGTGGCACACATCTGTAGTCCCAGCTACCCGGGAGGCTGAGGCAGGAGAATCACCTGAACCCGGGAGGCGGAGATTGCAGTGAGCCAAGATTGCACACATCTCAAAAAAAAAAAAAAAAAAAAAGTTGTCCATTTCCTGTCCTCCTTTGTCTCTTTTATTAAGGATAATTTAAACTGCTTTTCTTGGTTCCTGAAATCAAAGTTATTCTAAGCACCTACGAGAAGGTGAAATAATGTTTAATAACTATTGTGTATTCCAAATATAATATTTCAACTAAGGAATCCTCTGTAACAATACCCCATAAGAAAAGATTATTTTAAACCAAAATATCAATCTACATGATCACAACAGAATAGTTAGTTGTATGTAAGTTTTGTTGTTAGCATACTTTAACTCTTCAGGATAAACCAACAGCGTCACTTTAGCAAATGTGGCATTCCAGAACTGAGCACTCTGTTTTCGAATCTGTTTATTCTTGTGCAGAAATATTATGCATAATAGTGGGGAGAGTTGTTCAAGAAGTTCACTGTCGTAAGTTCCGGTGTAGCTGAATTGTAGGCAAGCAATAATTTCTCCCAGTAGCTTTTCTAACTAGGAAAAAGGAAAAAATAAAAGCAAAAAATATACTAAACATTAACTCACAGAATATGTGTTGCTATTTCAATTTTTAAAATTAAGACAATTTTAAACTAACCCCCATTGTTGTCTTAAATATATATCCCTCTTTATAACTCGACAAATTATCAGGTGAATTTACTTTGGTTATTAATATTACAGTTCAATTTTGAACTTATTTTCTATTAACAAAAGAAATTATGTTTTTGTAATAATTATAACAAGACAAATAGTTGCCTACATATGTTCACCTAGAAAACTTTGGGTCCAATCGCCATCATATATAAAGGGATAAGCTAAGAGTTGATTAACTAGGCTGGGCTCAGTGGTTCACGCCTGTAATCCCAGCACTTTGGGAGGCCAAAGCAGGCAGATTGCTTAAGCTCAGGAGTTTGAGACCAGCCTGGACAACATGGCAAAACCCTGCCTCTACAAAAAATACAAAAATTAGCCAGGAGCGGTGGTGTGTGCCTGTAGTCCTAGCTACTTGGTAGGCTATGGTGGGAGAATCACCTTGAGCCCAGGAGGGCAGGGGTGTGGTAAGCCGTGATCGTGACACTGTACTCCCACCTGGGTGGGATTTTGTCTCCAAAAAAAGAAAAAACAAAACAAAACCAACCTGTAAATGTGTTCATATAGTGTTATTAAATGTCCATTAAAAATGATGAACAGGCAAAGCATGGTGGCTCACACCTATAATCTCAGCACTTTGGGAAGCCGAGGCAGGCAGATCACTTGAGGTCAGGAGTTCGAGACAAGCCTGCCCAAAATGGTGAAACCCTGTCTCTACTAAATATACAAAAAATTAGTTGGACTTGGTAGCATGTGCCTGTAGTTCCAGCTACTCAGGAGGCTGAGGTGGCAGAACCACTTGATCCCAAGAGGTAGAGGCTGCAGTGAGCCAGGATCCTGCCACTGCACTCCAGCTTGAGTGACAAGAGTGAAACTCTTGTCTCCAGGAAGAAAAAAAAAAAGAAAGAATAACCCCTTTAAAAATCAGCAGAATTATGTTTAAGAAAATTATCTAAACCCTATCATTTTCTCATCATGAAAGTATGGTTTATGGACAATTGTCTATTTTTACCTTGTTGTTCAGACAACTATATACTTTAGGAACTTCATCAAGCCTAGGAAGGAAAACACATAAAATAGAATACCATTTATATTTCTGCAAGTTAACACTGTACTATCTATCAAGCTAATCCTAAGAAAAAGGTAATAAAGACATAATAAATATAAATTGATGATATAAAAAGGTGTCCAAAGACTTTACAAGTAAAAAAAACTCAAATGCTAAATATTAAGCATAAAACCATCCCATCTTTGAAAAATGAATCACAGAAAATATCTACAATAAGCCTCAAAGTAATAATCATATTAATTGCTTGTTTCTGTACATTTCTTTTAGGCATTATTTTTAATGTAATATAGACTTAAAAGATTTGCAAAGAAAAGTTCATGGATTTGGGGGTTGTACTTTATAAAATCTGTTCCAAAAATGTTCTCTGTTAATTTATGAAAGATAAAGTGTCCTACGATTGAACCACACAAGCTTGCTGTAAAGAATATTGATGAATCCTTTCAAAATGCTTGTACAAGTTTGATACCGGGGCTTTTTTTTTTTTTCTTTCAGGTTTTACGGCACTGCTTGCTTCGATTCAAATGAAGGGTGATGCAAAATTAATTCAATTTTTTGGAGAGCAATTCAGAAACATAAATGTGTATGCCCTTTGAACCAACATTTTTACTAATTTTCTACAGAAATAGCGGCAAATGTGGGCAATGATTTACGTATAATGTTCAACTGTTATGAGGGAAAATACTAGAAAAACATGTATGTCCACCAGTCAGAAATTGGGTAAAAAGTTAACAGAATCACGTGTAGACATTTTTTAAAATGAGATTTTCGTGTATATGGTACAGAGATAGCCATCCCTCAGTATCCATAGGGGATTAGCTGGCTGTGGTGGCGGCTAATTCCAGGACCACCCTCCTGCCAGGATACTAAAATCCATGGACGCTCAACACCCTAATATAAAACAAGTTGTATTTGCATGTAACCTAAACACATCCTCCCAGGTTTTAAATCATCTCTAGATTCCTTATAATATCTAATACAATGTAAATAATTGTCATACTGTATTTATTTGCATTATTTTTCTTTTTAATTTTTCCAAATATTTTCGATCCAGGGTTGGTTGAATCCATGAATGCAGAACTCATGGATACAAACAGCCAACTGTATTAAGTGCATACCATATAATTAACTGCAAAACAGCATGTCAAGTAGGCTTTCCTATCTATCATGCATTTAATAGGTATGCTTGTTTACATAAACAATTCTGAAAAGATAAGCACTGAAAAGGAAAGGGAAAGGAAAGTAACAGGCAAAACAGAAAGACTTCCAATTTCTCTTTCATATTTCTATACTACTTGAACTCTCTTTTTAACAAAAGTATAGTTTATTACCCTCTGCACAAAATTGTCAAGACTACCATCTACAACACAGCTGATTAAAAAGTAAAAGTTGCGACCTATATTTAAATTGTATACATTTAATTCAAAGCTACTTAGCCCAAAATACTTACTTTGAGTTTTCATAAAATAATGCGAGAGGTCTTGTTAAAGTTGCAAATATTTTTCGGATCATAGAAGGCAAAGAAATATGTACAAGTACACTGGAAATAATGCTGGTGATTGAGTTGCCAATAGTGAAGAGGGTATCGGAATGTGCTTCCTTGAAGCTCAGAGTGTGGAAAGAATAGATCACTTTCACAATAAGTTTAAATAAAGAAGTCAATTTCCCTAGGGGCTCATTCTTCTTTTTGGACCAATCTGAAGGTCTCTGTGGTGCTAAAAACAAAAATTGAATTAAAAACTCAAGTAAATTGAAAATAGGGTCACTGTCCACTTTTACAATGTATAGCTCACATTTAAATGTTAGATACATCAGCTGGGCATGGTGGCTTCACGCCTGTAATCCTAGCACTTTGGGAGGCTGAGGTGGGCGGATCACAAGGTCAGGAGATAAGAGACCATCCTAGCTAACACAGTGAAACCCCATCTCTACTAAAAATACAAAAAAAATTAGCCGGGCATGGTGGCGGGCGCCTACAGTCCCAGCTACTTGGGAGGCTGAGGCAGGAGAATGGCATGAACCCGGGAGGCGGAGCTTACAGTGAGCTGAGATCGTGCTACTGCACTCCAGCCTGGGCGACAGAGCGAGACTCCATCTCAAAAACAAAAACAAACAAACAAAGTTAGATACATCAAACACATGTCCGTTTGTTGACTAACACCCCAAACCAATCATAACATAATGTACCATTAATGGATAAGTATCACCAGAACATTATCTTTACAAATGAGAATGGGAGACGAAAACTACTTGGTGGATCATGAATATGAATTTCAGAAAAACAAGTCCATTTTTTCTTAGGAATAATAAAATGCATCTCAAACTTTTATTTTACATTTCATAAAATTTCAACAACTAATATGCAAGAAAGTGCTAAATTACGTAAGATAGGTTCCAAATTTAAATTTTAAAAGTTAGTTTTAAAAACAAAAAATTTCCACCATGAACGACGGACCATTTCCTTGCTCATCTATAGTACATTGATCCCTACAAATAACATTGAACAAGTCAGAGATGCAAAGCTGAGAAAGAATGCAGTAAGTCTACTGCCTGTTTCCTCACTGTAAGCTCCGCCTCCCAGGTTTACGCCATTCTCCTGCCTCAGCCTCACCCGCCAAGTTTTTTTGTATTTTTTGGTAGAGACGGGGTTTCACCGTGTTAGCCAGGATGGTCTCGATCTCCTGACCTCGTGATCCACCCGTCTAAAAGTACTGTCTTTCTTTTGTATCTTTAATCCCTCTGTAAACATCTACCTAGAAGAATAAACTCACATAGCTCTTGCCCAAAAAATATAGCCATTCCAAAATTACTTGTTTCTCTCAAACCGTTCTTTTAAGGAACGAGATCTCAAATTTAACAGAAAATGAATGCTTCTAAATTAAAATTAATCTCATATGGTAACATGAAAAAAAAATGTTGCTACTAAAAGGAAGTTGATCTTTCTCCTTGGAATCAATTTCTCAGACATTAATGTACATTGAAAAACTATATCCAGATATCCCCTGACAGAATGTTGAGGTGAGGTGACAGCCATATGTCAGGAGACTGGTTACATACAAGTGAATGATCAAGTTGTAAATACATTGAGGGTAACAAAAACCAGGTTTCTCACTATTAGAGACAGTAGAGACAAATACAGAAAGAGGAATAAATAGCATAATCCATGTTATATTAGACGGTAAATGAAAGTGTATCTAGAGAAACAAGTAATTGTGCCACAGTTAGTAGTAATTAACCTTGCAGTGGAAAACCTGGCAGATGCCATCCTCAAACAAACAGCAAGAGTTAACATCACCAGTAACGGGAAAATAATGAATTGAAAAAGAACTACAGCATTATTTCTGTGGCACTCCGGTAAAGAAATGAATGGACCCTGAATCTAATCTTAAAGAAATATGATAATCCCAGATTGAAAGACTCTAAGAAAGTAAAATTGCTTTTTTTTTTGAGATGAAGTGTAGCTCTGTCGCCTAGGCTGGAGTGCAGTGGCATGATCTCAGTTCACTGCAACCTCTGCTTCCTGGGTTCAGGAGATTCTCCTGCCTCAGACTCCCAAGTACCTGAGACTACAGGTGCGCACCATGCCTCACTCATTTTTGTATTTTTAGTAGAGACAGGTTGTCGCCCTGTTGACCAGGCTGGTCTAGAACTCCTGACCTCAGGTATTCCACCCACCTTGGCCTCTCAAAATGCTGGGATGACAGGCATGAGCCACTGCACCGGCCTAAAGTTGCTTTTTGAAGGACACAAAAGACAAGACTGAGGAATTGTTACAGGTTGTCAACTTGCCTAAAACTATACCTTCAAACGGTTTGCGGGGGGGGTGGGGAGAATAAAATGTATATTCTGGGGAAGGGGGGAGCAGATAAGATAAATGCAATCAACCGTTAACTGAGGAACCTGAGTAAATGAATACGAAGTTTCCACGTAAACTCTTGCAATATTTCTCTAAATTTGAAATCATCACAGTGTAAGTCACCAAAAAAATCCCAAGGCGATCCTGATAATAACAATTTGCTTTCGGTTAGTCTTAATATTGTTTCCTCTTCTCAATTCCTTTTAAAAATCTCCCCCTTACCCGAATTTTACAGCAAGAGGAACTCTGGCTCTGTTTTGCATGGACATGGAGTGGAAAAGACATTTGTAACTGTGGCCTTATAGTTCCTGAATTGGATATTCAGTTAAATCTAATTTCAGAAGTACCAACATAGGTAAAATTATGTCTCTATGAAACTTTGGTGGCTTATAATTTCTGACATTATCTGTTATACAATCTTGGTATACTTATGGTTTTCAGAGATAAGCCTATTTTTGACACACTGAGGTAATCAGATTAGGTCCTGGTCAGCCCAAGAGGAGAGCTAAGATCAGTATGTCAAGAACATCTATAACCTATATTTCTACAGGACTCAGGCCGGGATGCTCTGACCTATAATATACTTCAGGAGCTTAAAATGTTACTCCATATTGCTACTTAGTAAAAATTCAAAAACCAAAAAAGATTCTAAGAATGTTTTAGAAAACTCATCAATGGCAGATCTTATTGGTAGATAATTTTATGTTCCTAATCTTTAAACAATAAGAAATGATATATCTCAACATCAACTAACATTTTTCATTAATGACAGATTATCACTACCTATATGGTATGAACATATAAATGCAGGTGGATATATTTGACTTCATTCAATCAATTAGCAGATTTTAAAAACTATTTGCTACAAAATAACTTAAAACTAACCAAGGCATATGGTTTTTAAAAAAATCACACAAAACTTGTTATGATCCCCAATTGTCCAATTTTAATCATTTACCATTTTTCAGGTAAACAATGAATTAAATTTTTGTAACATTTCTGGAAAAAAATAACCAATTAACTGATCCCATTGTTTTCTTTAAAATTATAATGTCAATTCAATGATTACTTTAAATAAGGCTTGCAAATAAAAGCATTTTAAGTTATGTCTAAGTTTCTTGTCCAGATAATCCTTCATACCAGATGGAATGAGTAAAACCATTTGTACCATTAGGCAATCTCTAATTAGAATAGTATTTATCTTTCTGTGTTGTAAAAAGGAGTAAAGACATTTTGTGTCTGATAGAGATAAGAGAATGATACACAGCATCTGAAAATTAAAAAGAAAAAAGAGAGTACATGTATGAAAGCTCCCAGCATAGTAACTAACATGGTTAAACATGATCAAAAGTTACTAAAATGAGGTGGCAAAGGTATTAGGACTTCCCCTGGCAAAGTTCAGTAGTGCTTATAAAATACTGGATAAACAAAGATTAAAAAATACATACTTACATTTAACTTTGGGCTGATATTTAATATTATATGGTGAGAAGTCAATACAATCAACCATTACAGTAATAATATGAATAATTCTATCCACGAGCAACAAATTCTAGAGAAGAGAATATCACTGTTAGACACATTCAAGTACTGGGACAGTATTCAATAAGAGTAAGCAACATGAAAAAATGACTGTTACTCCCATATATTCTATGTAACATATGCCACAGCTTACAGTACATTTAGTGCAGCCACCCATGGCTTAACAGAGATCCATTCTGAAAAATGGGTCATTAGGCAATTTCACCTTGTGGGAACACAGGGTACTCACACAAACCTAGATGATACAGCCTACTACACACCTATATAGTCTGTTGTTCCTAAGCTACAAACATGCTATAGGTGTGTAGTTACTATACCCAACAATCACTGTGAGACTCTGTCTCAAGGGGGAAAAGAAAAAAGAACTGTTATTTTTACTTTCCTTTATTCCTCATTAAATTATGTGTTAGATATAAGATGTAGAGAAAACACACACAACAAATATCATTTCAATAATCTGCATGGAAAAACAATGGTTTCTGTGTGAAGGCCATTACCAGGATTATACACAGTAATAAATAATTGAAACAACCAAAATGTCCTTAAAATAGCAGAATTCCAGGCCAGGTGCAATGGCTCACGCCTGTAATCCTAGCCCTTTGGGAGGCCAAGGTGGATCACCTTAGGTCAAGAGCTTGAGACCAGCCTGGCCAACATGGCGAAACTCCATCTTTACTAAAAACTCCATCTTTACTAAAAAAATCAGCTGGGCGTGGTGGTGCACACCTGTAATCCCAGCTACTCGGTGACAGAGTGAGACTCCATCTCAAAAAATAATAAAGCCTGGGTGACAGAGTGAAACTCCATTTCAAAAAATAATAAAAAATTTAAAAAATAATAGAATTCCAAGTAATGGTACAATCATACTACAGAATACTAGACAGCAGTTGAAAGAAATAATAGAGCTATATGGATTGACTTGAAATGGAGCCAAGACAGTGTTTTACGAAAAGTTACATAATTACTTCGCAATAAGGATTTCCTTGCCAAGAATACCGTATTCATATGCATATGCAAGTATCAATATACAAATGACATGTGTAAATAGAAAGAGGTCTATTCTGGAATGACACATATTAATCTGTTCCCAACAGCTGTCCTTTCCATGAGGAGGGAAGGAAAGAGAAAAGAGACTTATATTTTCTAAGACTACAAACTTTCAAAGGGATTGAATTTAAACATCTAACAGATACATATGAGAAAGTGAGGTTCAGGACAGCAAGGCCCTTGAACTGTTAATCTAGAAAAACACAAGCACAAGCAGATACACGTATAGTAAAAGATCTTCACTGTTAATGATCCCAAAACATGAACCTTAGAGCCCAAAGACACAAAACTGTTACACAAAGCATACTTGTTTTCAATATCAACTTTGTCACATATAAATAGAAGCAGTAATAAGCGATAGCTCACAAATGTTATCTCCATTTACTTGAAAAGAATCCTTTAAAAACAAACAAAAAAAGGTAGCATCAGGACAAACTCACAGAAAAGCCTTCATCTTCCAAACTGGACATTATCTTGGAAGAAAGTTCCTCACAGCACAAGTTCTCTTCTGCTGTTGCCACCAAAGCAGCACAACGAGCAAATGCTCTATATAATTCTGACCAAGTTCTAAGTAAAGTCTTCATGGTGGCCTACCAATAACAATAAAAAAAGAAGTTCTGTTAATATGTACCTATGTATCAAACAGTTTCTGGAATCAATACATCTTTTAAAAACACTGCAACATTTAATGTGTCACAAAAGAGACTAACGGCCAGGCGCAGTGGCTCACGCCTGTAATCCCAGCACTTCGGGAGGCCGAGGCGGGTGGATCACCTGAGGTCAGGAGTTCGAGGCCAACATGGCGAAATCCCGTCTCTACTAAAAATACAAAACATTAGCCAGACAAAGTGGCAGACGCCTATAATCCCAGCTACTCAGGAGGCTGAGGTAGGAGAACTGCTTGAACCCGGGAGGTAGAGGTTGCAGGGAGCCAAGATTGAACTACTATACTCCAGCCTGGGCAACAAGAGCGAAACTCTGTCTCAAAATAAAAAACAGACTAACACAAAGTCATAACCTTTCCCCCACACCCCAGAGATCTAACCAAAGAGAGGAAATAAGGCCATGATACCAAAACTTATCAAAGATCCAAAAGAACTTGTCTCGTCCTTCATCATTCTCCTAAGCTAATAATAAAGTCATAAACAAGTCTTATTTTAGAAATTATTGTGGGCTGGGCACAGTGGCTCATGCCTGTAATCCCAGCACTTTGGGAGGCCAAGGCAGGTGGACCACTTGAGGTCAGGAGTTCAAGACAAGCCTGACCAATATGGTGAAACTCCATTTCTACTAAAAATATAAAAATTAGCTGGGCGCGGTGGTATGGTCCTGCAGTCCCAGCTACTTGGGAGGCTGAGACAGGAGAATTGCTTGAACCCAGGAGGCAGAGGTTGCAGTAAGCTGAGATTGCACCACTGTACTCCAAGCCTGGATGACAGTGCGAGACTGTGTCTCAAAAAAAGAAAAAGAAAAAAGAAAAAGAAATCATTGTGGAAGCTGATTATAAAGGATGAAGTAATATTTTCAGAAAAGTACAAATCCCTTAGAAATCAATACTTTACAATGCCTTACCACTGGAAATCTCTGTTCCGAAAAAATATGGTTTACTGGTAAAGTCAATGCACCATAGATGGCACTAAAATTGTGTTCTAAGGCATCACCTTGATTTACTTCATTGGTCTAAAACAAGAAAAATAATGAAGTTAGACAAATTACCATCTTAATTCTAATCCTAAGTAGTAACATAACTTATTTATAAGAAGTGGGCAAAACTGTGTCCCTCAATGATGAGATTCAAAATATGTTTAACTCCTAACCCCTGGAACCTACGAATGTAGTCTTATTTGGAAATGAAGTCTTTGCAGATGTTCAGAAGGAGTCCTACTGGATTAGGGTCAGCCCCAATCCAATGAACAGTCTTTTCTGGAAGAGGAAAATTTGGATAGGCACAGAGAACAATACCACAGGAAGATGGAGGCATAGTCAAGTGATGCAGCTACAACTCAAGGAAGGTCAAGGATTGCCAGCAACCAGCAGAAGCTGAGAGGCATGAAGAGATTCTGCCTCGGAGCTCCAGGAGAAACCAATCCTACCAACTCCTTGATTTTGGATAGCTGGTCTCTAGAACTAAGGGAGAATAAATCCCTGTTGTTTTAAGTCATCAAGTGGCTGTAATCTGTTAATAGCAACCTGGGGAAATTACGCACTATACGTTCTAAAAGAGATTCCCAGAGCCAACTCCAAAGTCTTCTATAATACATACACAGCATTCCAGCAAAAACTAATACAATAAAAAGGGCCTCTGTGATCGTTCTAACAGTGGGAAGCTATTTAAGAACGTAGGCCGGGCGCGGTGGCTCATGCCTGTAATCCCAGCACTTTGGGAGGCTGAGGTGGGAGGATCACGAGGTCAGGAGATCAAAACCATCCTGGTGAACATGGTGAAATCCCATCTCTACTAAAAATTCAAGAAAAAAGAAAAAAGAAAAAAATTAGCCGGGCATAGTGGCGGGCGCCTGTAATCCCAGCTACTCAGGAGGCTGAGGCAGGAGGTAGAATGGCGTGAACCCCAGGAGGCGGAGCTCACAGTGAGCTGAGATCGTGCCACTGCTGCACTCCAGCCTGGGCTACCGAGACTTCATCACAAAACAAAAACAAACAAACAAACAAAAATCAAAAAGAATGTAAATGACTTTTCTTCCAGAAGAATAGTGTGCTGGTGTCAGTAGCCAAAATAAGGGCTAGGTAACTATAATGTAAGAAGCTGGGCACAGTGGCTCACGCCTGTAATCCCAGCACTTTGGAAGGCTGAGGCTGAGGTCAGGAGTTTGAGATCAGCCTGACCGATACAGGGAAACTCCATCTTGAATAAAAATACGAAAATTAACTGGGCGTGGTGGCGCGCACCTGTAGTCCCAGCTACTCGGGAGGCTGAAACAGGATAATCGCTTCAACCCACGAGGCAGAGGTTGCAGTGAGCCAAGATCGTGCCACTGCACTCTAGCCTGGGTAACAGAGTGAGATTCCGACTCAACAACAACAACAACAAAATTCCTTCAAGTTATTTCATTTTTGAGTTACAGCACTATTAGCCCAGAGAATGCATATTCCCACTTAATGATTGACAAAGAGGCTGACAAATCATAAACAGAACGTGCTGCACAGCCTGTCACTATTCCCAGTTCGGTTAAATACGTAAACGTAAGGATTTAAGTATTTAAATACACAGATTATTCAACTCTCAACAGATTCCTAACTTAAGGAAATACTATATGGCTTTGAGGTAATCACCAACGTGGCTTAACTGGGGGAATATACAGCCTAGTCAAGATAACCACTGTTATTCCGTTAATAAAACTACTGAAAGAATCCAAGATACAAGATTTTACATCTATGTGAGCCTTCTAGGTTTATAATCACTACTAAAGAAAATGAAGCTGATTAGTCCCCATTAAGTTATAGTTTCTTTACCAGTGAGGCAGAAATGCAATAAAATAAAAAATACAAACTTTGCAAATTCCACCAGAAAAAATATTTATGATCTTTTATTCAAATTCAAACTTACTATTCATTTCCCCAATTGCACAAATAAAAAAGGTGTATTATCTAAAATATGTAGATTTATTTCATACCTGATTAATCAATTCAGTTAATGGGGTGACTATAACACTCCACATTTTCCAGAGATGCTCCTTATTTTCCAACTGCTTTGCATTTTGATTGATAACATTTAAAACTGAGTCACTGAAAGCTAGTGGTGAAGTTGGACCAGAAAGAACACAGCCTACAAGTGATTCCAAACTGAGAAAGAACCTGAAGAAAAAATTATAAATAATGCATCAACTTTCTGGCAGGAATATATTAATTTAATGTTAACAAAATTCTAAAATAACTGACAAAAAGTTAATGGTCTTTTTAAAAAAAAAAGTCTTAAAGAAACTTAGGAAATAGTACATAAATAATCTCATTCATTACATAACCTTTCCAAGACAAAGTTTCAAGTTAAAGTACAAACTTACCTTTCATCTGATACACCACATTCCAAGAGATTGTTGAAAATTAATTGAATTAAGAACAAAGCTGGAGTTCCCTGAAGGAGAAAATGAAGCCAATATTCTCAGTTACAAAGAATAGAACACTTGTTTTTTATGATCGGTTATTTAAGAAATAAAATTGTTTTGGCATGACAAATTTAACTTTTGGCATTACTTAAGGTATGACAACCATGTTAATAAAATTATTTCCATTAACTACACACAAAAATCAAGCTCTTGGCCAGGCGTGGTGGCTCACGCCTGTAAACCCAGCACTTTGGGAGGCCGAAGCGGGTGGATCACGAGGTCAGGAGATCGAGACCATCCTGGCTAACACGGTGAAACCCCGTCTCTACTAAAAATACAAAAAATTAGCCAGGCAGGGTGGCATGCACCTGTAGTCCCAGCTACTTGGGAGGCTGAGGCAGGAGAATGGCATGAGCCCGGGAGGTGGAGGTTGCAGTGAGCCGAGATCACGCCACTGCACTCCAGACTGGGCAACAGCCTGACTCCATCTCAAAAAAAAAAAAAAAAAATCAAACTCTTCAAGTCTAATCATAGCTGTTTCCTCTACACAGAAAATCAAGGAATGATGAGATTCAGATATAAAAAGAACATCAATCTAAAATTTACTGGAATCCCAATGCCTACATCCTAGAAATATTAAGTGCATTTTACATTAGCTTCCAATATTTGAGGCAGTAACCAACACTATTATCGTATATAAACAAATAGGAAACTTTCCTTTTGGAGCCATTTATTTAATCCAGGAAAATAGTTTCTTCATTCACATAGCAGCATATTTAATTCCTTACATTAACTATCAGTTTTTCCTTTAATTTGGTCAATATACTTCAAATCCAATACTCTCAGAATTTTACATAAGGTTATCCTTTTTTTTTAAAAAAAAAAAAAAGGGAAATATGGCTGGGTGCAGTGGCTCACACCTGTAATCCCAGCATTTGTAAGAGCAAGGCGGGGGAATCACCTGAGGTTAGGAGTTCAAGACCAGCCTGACCAACATGGAGAAACCCCGTCTCTACTAAAAATACAAAATTAGCCAGGCATGGTGGCACGTGCCTGTAATACCAGCTACTCGGGAGGTTGAGGCAGGAGAATAGTTTGAATCTGGGAGGCGGAGGTTGCAGTGAGCGGAGATGGTGCCATTGCACTACAGCCTGGGCAACAAGAGTGAAACTCTGTCTCAAAAATAAATAAATAAATAAAATAAAAAATAAAAAAAGGAAGTATAAATGTTTTTCGCCAATCTTCATCATATTACATTTAAGATACTTGCATTAAGAATATCCATATTAGCAACCTGATATGCTGGTGAACCTAATACTTTCTGAGGAAGTCCTTTAATTGTAATTTCCATGAGGACCTATGAGAGATAAAAGGTTTTACAGTAAATTAGTCGTAAAAATATTACCTAATAAAAATCTGAGTGTTAACTATATCTCTAACAATTACAAGTAATGTTCATTCATTAACGTAAACATAATCTCATTAGTTAAAAAAGATCAAATACATTCATTTGCTAACATGAATATATCTGCATCCGTTTTAAAAGTTCAAACACAGAAATATAAAAAGCAGGTAAAGTCTTTAATCTCCAGGGATAATCAATACTTTCAGTTCAGAGTCTATTTTCCCAGACCTTCTAAATTTCTGTATATGTAAGTACACAGAAAAACACACAACTTCTTGGGCAGTCGGTTATATACACACATTCCTTTAAACTATTAAAGCCATTACAATGTAAATCACTAATGATATTAAGCTCTGCAACTAACCTTCATTTTACCTTGTTACAGAGTTTTTGCATCAATATAGAAAAATACTGCTATATGAGTGCCCATTATTTAGTCAACCATTTTTCTATTAAGGGACCTTGAGACTATTTCTATATTTTTTTATACTACTAATAGAAATTCTGCAATTAATTATACTGGTATCCAAAGCAAATATTCAAACACTGCTAACTAATAGTTGGGTCCAAGATTGCTAAATCAAACTGACTGAGCCTACCAAATTGCTCTCCAAAAATACTACCACACTATTTTTCCTTTTTGAGACAAGGTCTCACTGTTCTTCACGCTGGATTGCAGAGGCACGATCTTGGCTCACTGCAGCCTCAAACTCGTGGGCTCAAGTGATTCTCCCACCTCTGCTTCCAGAAGAGCTGGGACTACAGGCATGTCACCACGCCTGGCTAATTTTTGCAGTTTGCCCAACTTGACCTCCCAAAGTGCTGGGATTACAGGTGTGAGCCACCATGCCCAGCGGTAATACACTGTTATGAACACGCACTACATAACTTAAATGTTATAGAAGAGTTACGTCAGTGAAAATACACTTTCACATACTGTCATCTGGAACAGATTAATAATAATAGACAGTATTAGTTTGTTCCTGGCCCATAGTACTTTGCATGTATCAACTCATTTAATCTTTAACTACTGCTACATTCCCTCTTTACATATGGGGTTAGGCAAAGCCAAGGGAATAGATAAATTGCACAAATTTACCCAGCTAATAAATAGTTAGGCTGGTATTCAACCTAGTCTGCCCCAGAGCCCTTGCGACTAACCACTATGCTATACTGCCACAGAACAAGTAACTGTCAAAGTACATAAAGGAAACAAAATCAGAATTTTAGGGTATTGTTTGTTCCATCAGAGCTTATTCTGAGATGCTCATATCATCAAAATCATATCCAATTCACTTTTCTTCCTGTACTACACGGGTTAAAAAAAAATGTGTTTTAATATCAAAGTCATTCTCTTGGTTAAAAACAGTTAATTTAGAACAAAGTACCAGCTAACTATTAGTGGTTTTCAGCAATCTTGTCATAAAATTAAAGGACATCTGACTTTCTTCAGTTCAAGTTTCCTGTCCTTTACCCTAGTTTTTCTCTGTACGGCAGGTATTTTTTTTCTTATCACATTGAAGACTTTTGTGGCTGTTGTTATAGTCACTTTATTAAAAAGGGTTCGAATGACTCTGTAGTTAATAGAATGGCACCTACTGCAACAGGACTAAACTGCTGATGAATGCTTGATATAAAAAATGTCTTCCCAAACTATCTTCGATATAAAATTTAACTTCAGAAAATGGTTTTTAAAGTCCAACATATGGGTATTATACTTACCAGCGTTTTTGATACAGGAAATATTTCAGACTTTACTATGCTTTCCAAAGACTTTAATAAGAGAGTCAAAACTTCAGAACCTGGTTTCTCTTTTTTGTTACCTATCAAAAAGCAAAAAGGAGGGTGTGGTTTTTTTTGTTTTGGTTTCTCTTTGAGCTGTCTTGCTCTGTCACCCAAGCTGGGGTACAGGGGCACAATGTTGTGCCAAACTCCACCCATCTCAATTTCCCAAAGTGTTGGGATTACAGGTGTGAGTCACCACGCCCGGCCGAGAACGGTGTATTTCCTTTTTTTCTTGAAGGAGTTTCACTCTTGTTACCCAGGCTGGAGTGCAATGGCGCCATCTCTACCTCCCGGATTCAAGCGATTCTCCTGCCTCAGCCTCCTGAGTAGCTGGGGATTACAGGCATGCACCACCATGCCTGGCTAATTTCGTATTTTTAGTAGAGGCGAGGTTTCTCCATGTTGGTCAGAATGGTCTCAAACTCCTGACCTCAAGTGATCCGCCCGCCTTGACCTCCCAAAGTGTTGGGATTACGGGCATAAGCCACTGCACCCGGCTAGAAGGGTGTATTTCTAAGCATGTAATTTTAGAGATGACTATACAGAAAGCTGTAAAAATTTGTTTTTTTCTAAATCAACAATAGTAAGTACAGTTGACCCTTGAACAACAAGGGTTTGGACGGCATGAGTCCACTCATATTCAGATTTTCTTCCATCCCGGAAACAGCAAGTTCCACCCCTCCTCTTCCCTCCTTAGTGTACTCAACGTAAAGACAAGGATATAACCTGGTTCCACTTAATGACTGTGTCTTCTCTTATGATTTTCCTAATATTCTTTTCTCTAATTTACTACATTGCTAATGAACACAAAACACAGCATATAATGCACATAACATATAAATATGTGTTCATCAGCTATTTATGTTATCAGCAAGGCTTCCAACCAATAATAGGTTATCAGTAGTTAAGTTCTCGGGGAGTCAAAAGTTATATGTAGACTTTCAACCATATGGTGGGTCAGCACATCTAACCCCAGTGTTGTTCAAGCATTAACTATAAATTAAAGCCTGGAAGCTATGGTAATACAAGAAATACTTTTAAAATACATTTTATATACTGCCAAATAATTCACTGGATGCTATAAAAATCATCTGATCACCACCTGTTTCAAAAAAAAAATCATTTGATCAGTGTTAATAGTGCTTACCTGATTCAGTAACTGACTTCACCAAGCTAATTAGCTCCTTCCAGATAGCACTGACAACCACATCTGTCAAACAAAATAAACTTGAGTATTTTAAATGAAGTACATATGACTATTGTACTATGACTAACACTCTCCCTTTACTTCCTTACACTAAAGAAATAAATTGAACAATACTTAATCTTCCTCACGATATTCAGCCCTGTAGTAAGTTTATAAAACACTTATCACTTTGTTTTTGTTTGTAGAAACTAAGTATGTTTATTTTTTGAGATAGGGTCTTGCTCTGTCCAGGCTGGAGTACAGCGGCACAATCATAGCTCACTGTCATCTCAACAACCTGGGCTCAAGCAGTCTTCCCACATCAGTCTCCCAAGTAGCTAGGACTGTAGGTACACACCACTACCCCCATCTAATTATTACTATTATTTATTTTTTTTTTGGTAAAGACAGCATTCTCACTACATTTCCCAGGCTGGTCTGACTCAAGCAAACCTCCCACCTTAGCCTCCCAAAGTGCTAGGGTTACAGGCATGAGCTACCATGTCCAGCCATAAATGTGTTCCTTAAAACAACTATAACATGTTAACACTAAATTGTATAACTAAGGGTAACTGCTTTATCTTTTTTTATTATCTTTCTTTTCTGAACTGAATGCCCACTACTTTTGAGGCAAAGATTGTTCACAGAGATTCAGAAGGATATCTAACAACCAACAGAAAAAAAAATATGTGATTCATTGTGATTCTTTTTCCAACCAGTTTCAACAGCAAACAATTTTTGAAATTTCCTTTCCTCATTATTTGATAGGCCATATAACACAGGAGTTTAGGTACAGATACTAAAGCCATAGAGCCTGACACAGTATTACCACTTATAAGCGACTCTGCACAACTTATGTATTTCCTGTATTACCCAATTTCCTCATTTGTAAAATGAACTAACATGGAACGTTACTGCCAAAATTAAATGAATATATGTAAAGTTCTCGCACAATCTGGCCAGTAGGTGGCACCATATAAATATTTTCTATTTTATCTTATTTTTTATTTTTTAATACTGAATCTTGCTCTATCACCCAGGCTGGAGTGCAGTGGCACAATCTTGGCTCACTGCAACCTCCACCTCCTGGGCTCAAGCAATTCTCATGCCTCCGCCTCCCGAGCAGCTGGGCCTATAGGTATCTGCCAACACGCCCACCTAGTTTTTGTGTGTTTTGTAGAGACAGGGTTTTGTCATGTTGCCCAGGCTGGTCTCAAACAACTGAGCACAAGTGATCCACTCACCTCGGCCTCCCAAAGTGCTGGGATTACAGGTGTGAGGTACTGTGACTGGCCTATTTTTTCTTTTTAAACACACATTTGAGCAAACAATAAATCAAATTCTCTTACCGGAGGCATCTTTTCCAACTGCAACAAAGCTATCATGAACAGCAGTGATAAGTGTATTTGCATGTTTGGAAAAAAAAGAAGGGCTGCTGATTAAGGGATGTTCCAGTGGCTCTGAAAGGGGGAGAATAAAAGATAATTATGTAAAACAACAGATTTATGAAATACATTTCTCACTATAAAACTTTAAAACGTCTATTAAGTAGGTGTGTTTTCTATAAAAAAAAGATTCATATTTATTTCATACACAACTATAAAATATTTTGGCTGTGAAAAAATAACACCTCTCCTCACCCCAATGCAATAAGTCCTGGACTGTTTTAGAAATTAAAACTATTCTTAAAATATTTAAATACCTAAGCTCAGCACAAGTTTATTTTGCTTAGCAAAACTCAAGGCTTCTGGACCCAACAAGAAATGAAGCAACATTTCAAGTCCCAAAAGTTGAATGGAAGGGATTGTGGCCATTCCACCTAAATTCGAACTCAGGTTCATTCGGGGGGTTCCCGGGGCTCCATACGGGGAGGAAGCACCTTTAAGAAAAAAAAGAAAGGGTAAGTCACACAAGCTCATTTTATATTAGCTACCCAAATGCATATATTTCATTTCAATGAAACTTTTAAACAGAGTTTAAATGTCTCAGGCATTAATCCATACCTTGAAATATTAATATGCAGGTATTCTGTAACAGAAATTTTTAAGACTCAGATGGCAAATATAAAATAATACATATGAAATAACTGTCTTTCAATGATATACATAAAGAGACACTATAACTGCTAAGATTTTGATATAGAGTCTCATTGTACTGCCAAGGCTGCAGTGCAGTGGTATAATCATAGTTCACTAAAATCTCAAACTCCTGGGCTCAAGCAATTCTCCCATCAGCATTCCAAGTAGTCGTAACTATAGATGGATGGATGTCACTTTGCTCTGCTAATTTTTTAATTTTTTGTAGAGACAGGGTCTCACTATGTAGCACAGGCAGTATCGAACTCCTGGCGTCAAGTGATCCTCCCGCCTCAGCCTTCCCAAGTGCGTGTCACTGCACCTGGCTGAAGTGTTGTTTTTGTTCTGAGACTGAGTCTCGCTCTGTTGCCCTGACTGGAGTGCAGTGGCATGACCTCGGCTCATTGCAACCTCCGCCTTCCAGGGTTCAAGCGATTCTCCTGCCACAGCCTCCCATGTACCTGGGCTTACAGGTGCCCACCACCATGCCCGGCTAATTTTTGTATTTTTGGTAGAGACGGGGTTTCACCGTGTTGGCCAGGCTGGTCTCAAACACCTGACCTCAAGTGATCTGCTGGTCTCGGCCTCCCAAAGTGCTAGGGTTACAGGCATGAGTCACCTCGCCCAGCCAATGTGTTGTTTTTAATAGCGCTAAGATTCTGGTTCTAAAACCAACAGACTTTCATGTTAATTGCTCTGAGGCTTTTTTTGTAATGTACCTCATATAATGTACTGAAAATACATCTGTCTTTTCTAACCACAACTACGTGCTTACAACAGTACTCAGTAACATAAAAACAAAACAAAACAAAACAAAAAAAACAGGAAGACATAATGGATTTTTTGGTAACGAATCTAAAAATTATGAAGTGCTTCATTTCATACGAAAAACACTGAGTAAAACCTCTCAAAGCTTGTTTTATTTCCTACTTCAAAACTATGGTTCTAGGTCAACAAAGCCTGATTAAAAAAGCAAAAACCAACAGTATCTACCTCTTACCTTTGTGTACAGGAGTCATAGGATTTAAACCTGGAGATGTAGCTACATGACATGAATTGCCTTGAGGTGAGGCATTAGAATCAATGCTTATTGTACTTTGAATCAGAGGCACACAAACCTATGGCGTAAAAGAGAAAACATCGATCTATAAACTATACGTCTGTCACAGTTTCTAAAAGCCTCACATAATATAAATTTCATTAAATGGAGCCTTAATATATACCATTTTACAGATTGTTTCCATGCACAAACAGGCTAAAAAATGAAATTTGGAAAAAATATGAACATTTTATTACAATTGTATTTGCCCTAAATGTGTGTTACCTAAATTTGTTTATATACATAAACATCTGAATTGTATACATTATTGATAGACTAATTTAAACTTTTTAAAACTCTGGAACATCATCCTAGTACCAGTCACCTGTAGTTACCAAATAAATTATTCCAATTAATGTATTGGACAAATGCAAATAATTAGCCTATTGGACCCTTAAAACGGTAGAATTTGGAAAATTCATTATGATCCAAATTACATTATTGACAATACCCATCTTCAATTACTTCATGTTATATAAAATTTAAAACTCTTAATATATTAAAAAATTAAGAACTGAATAAAAATGGCTTAAGTCCTCCTTTCCAAGAATGCATTCCCTGCTATGCAGCTATTTACATAAAACATAAGGACTGGGGGGGAGGGGGGAGGGATTGCATTGGGAGTTATACCTGATGTAAATGACGAGTTGATGGGTGCAACACACCAACAAGGCACAAGTATACATATGTAACAAACCTGCACGTTATGCACATGTACCCTACAACTTACAGTATAATAATAATAAATAAAATAAAAAAAAAAAAAAAAAACATAAGGACTATAGATGCATAAGTAAAATATACCCCCAAAATCCAAACTAAGTGAAGAAATGAGAAAGATGTTAGCAGAGCTGCTCCTTTTAACTGTAAAAAAAATTCAAAAACCAGGCCAGGTGCCATGGCTCACGCCTGTAATCCCAGCATTTTGGGAGCCGAGGCAGGTGGACCACGAAGTCAGGAGATCGAGACCATCCTGGCTAACACAATAAAACCCTGTCTCTACTAAAAATACAAAGAATTAGCCGGGTGTGGTGGTGGGTGCCTGTAGTCCCAGCTACTCTGGAGGCTGAGGCAGGAGAATGGCGTGAACCCGGGAGGTGGAGCTTGCAGTGAGCCGAGATTGCGTCACTGTACTCCAGCCTGGGTGACAGAGCAAGACTCCATCTCAAAAAAAAAAAAACTCAAAAACCAAGGATGGAAATAATTGCAAAAAACCCAAAAGGTTTAGGTAAGATTAAACTTTATGTCTAAATACTAGTAAGGATATGCAAATCCTGAAGAATTCATAAAATCACTGCGTAACAATTAAAAAGAACCTACAAATAGGATTAAATCACTGGTTATCACTATGCAGCCTAGAAAACAGAGGAACAAAAAATAACTACCCAGTGTAGCACTTGATTTCTCTCTCTCTTTTTTTTTTTTTTTGAGATGGAGTCTCACTCCGTTGCCTGGGCTGGAGTGCAGTGGCGTGATCTTAGCTCACTGCAACCTCCAACTCCTGGGTTCAAGCAATTCTCCTCAGCCTCCCGAGTAGCTGAGACTTCAGGCACATGCCACCATACCCAGCTAATTTTTTGTATTTTAGTAGACATGGGGTTTCAACATGTTGCCCAGGCTGGTCTCGAACTCCTGAGCTCAGGCAATCCACCTGCCACTGCCTCCCAAAGTGCTAGGATTACAGGTGTGAGCCACCATGCCCGGCTGATTTCTATTTCACTGATGCTGGTTTTCTTCTCAATTATATTCCAAATCCTCTAGGGAAAAAAAGCCTCTTTTTAAAATCATAATGCTTGAAGAGTAAGAATGAGTATTTGATTACTTGCTGATTTAAAAACATTTCAGGGCCAGGCGCGATGGCTCATGCCTGTAAGCCAGCACTTGGGGAGGCTGGGGCAGGCGGATCATTTGAGGCCAGGAGTGTGAGACCAGCCTGGCCTCCATGGTGAAACCCTGTCTATACTAAAAATACAAAAAATCAGCCAGGTGTGGTCGTGTGCCTGTAGTCCCAGCTACTCGGGAGGCTGATGCAGGAGAATCACCTGAACCCAGGAGATGGAGATTGCAGTGAGCCGAGATCGTGCCACTGCACTCCAGCCTGGGCAACAGAACAAGACTCTGTCTCAAAATAAATAAATAAATAAATTAATTAATAAAAACATTTCAGGTAAAGAGGCTCCATTTCAAGCAATTGAACAATATCCCTGTGGGAAATGAATTTAAGTTCTCTGCCAGTCAAGTGGAAGATCTTTTATATGTTCTAGTCTGCTAACAAATAGCAAAAATAACACTAAAAGAGTACATTGGTAAGAACTTAAGAACACATTAACAAAAACATAAAGTGCTATAGTCAACACTTGTAATGTTACCTGTTCAAAATTAGCAGGAAGATGAGGTCCAAGTCTCATCAGTAAATACCACCAGACTTCTAGTTTTGTTAATGCTAGAGTTTCTGTTCTCACGTGGATTGAACTCAAAGGCTGCATTAACAACTTGAGTCTTTTTGCACTACATAGTATATCTTAAAAGAAAATAAGCACACAGGTAAAGAGACATCCAAGCTAAAGATTAACTCCAACATTAGCTATGCAACAGTCTTTTATCACAGCAAGAGAACAGATTTTAAAATACTTTAAAAAAAAATAAATCCCCAGGATGTCCTTGCTCTACCCAAAACTTGCATTTTCATAAACTGTAGTACCGCTGAACCAAAGACACTAAATAAGGCAAAAATGTATTTTAAAACAAATAAGTAGTATTTATTAGATACTGTGTGCCAGGGGCAATTTCCCACCAGGAAATACTTTAGGTTGGTTACAAATGAGGGGATGCTACTGACATCTTATGGGTAGAGTACTAGGGACACTACTAAACTTCAACACACAGGACAGTCCTGAAAAACAAATCATCCAGCATAAAATGCCAAAACTTTGAGAAATACTGTCCTAGCTGCTTTAGCATTCTCATTATCCCCATTTGACAAAGAAACGGAAGCATGTTTACATTATGTCAAAAAAGGCTATCATTTTAAAAATCAATTATTAATATATTTCATCAAAAATCATTACTACTGGGGCCACTGATTGAATACATTTTTGAAATCTAAATAGATTCAGATTCAGGACTGCTCTATCTTAACAATAATCATATTGTTAAAATTCAGCATAGAAATTAAATCCAATCTTCAGACAAAACATTTATGCCAAATGAGTAAGACTGGGGATATGAAAAATTAAGACATAGTCTGTGCTAAAATAACTTGTCGAAAAGACCTTAAAAGGGTTGGGCATGGTGGCTCACGCCTATAATCCTAGCACTTTGGGAGGATGAGGAGGGCAGGTCACTTGAGGTCAGGAGTTTGAAACCAGCCTGGCCAACATGGTGAAATCCTGTCTCTACTAAAATTACACAAAGGTTAGATGGGCGTTGCATTGGGCGCCTGTAATACCAGCTACTCAGGAGGCTAAGGCAGGAGAATCGCTTGAACCCAGGAGGCAGAGGTTGCAGTAAGCTGAGATCGTGACACTGCACTCCAGGCTGGGCAACAGAGTGAGACTCCGACCCGAATAAACAAACAAACAAACAGACTTGGAAAGGACTCAGTCAGGCCATGTATTTGGTAGAATGGCACTCAACAATGTCTGTTACAACTACTCTGCCATTTAGCTATTTCAATTAACAGCTCTATAAGAAAATAAAGGCAGATCACTGTATGAACAAGTTATCCAGTCCAAGACACTTACTTTTTGGGGGCCCCTATTCTTTTTGTTCGTTTGTTTATTCATTCATTCAGAGATGGAGTTTCGCTCTTGTTGCCCAGCCTGGAGTGCAATGGCGCCATCTCGGCTCACTGCAGCCTCCTCCAGGGTTCAAGCGATTCTCCTGCCTCAGCCTCCCAAGTAGCTGGGATTACAGGCATGTGCCACCATGTCCGGCCAATTTTGTATTTTTAGTAGAGACGGGGTTTCTCCATGTTGGTCAGGCTACTCTCTAATTCGAGAACTCAGGTGATCCGCCCACCTCTCAAAGTGCTGGGATTACAGGCGTGAGCCACCACGCCTGGCCTCTATTCTATTTATGAGAAGAGCTCCATAATAATATCTCTACAATAGCAGAGATTAATTACCATGCAATAAACCAATCTCCTTTAATTACAAAATCTGATTTTACACAGGACAGTGATGGATGCCCAGTTTTTGACTACTTTTTCTAGTCGGCCATTGAGCCATTCTACCCAGTAAAATTTAAGTGGATATGTATATAAGATTCTTAGGTGGTTATTTCTAGGTATAGATGACTCAGCTGTGAAGAAGTCTTCCCTGTTCTACCTTCCCTCCTTCCTGTCTGCAACTAAGACAAATCGAAGATGGCAGAGCAAAAGCAGTCATCTGATTCCTTGATGACTTCCTGGATCCACAGTATTAGTCGTGGATTCCCTAGCTCTGAACTTATTTTTAACTTACCCTCTTTAAACTACTCTTATTTTATGCTTTAACTTAATTCCGAAAAATTGTAGTCCCAAACATTACTTCTGGGTTTACAGTTAGACCCAAATACATGCCAGCTCATAAACATAAAAATAAGCTACAATTTCAATTAAAAATTATAGTAGACTGAGCACAGTGGCTCACACCTGCAATCCTAACACTTTGGAAGGCTGAGGTAGGTAGATCACTTGAGTCCAGGAGTTTGAGAGTAGCCTGAGCAACATGGTCAAATCCCGCCTCTACAAAAGATACAAAAACTAGCCAGACATGGTGGCACACGCCTGTAGTCCCAGCTACCTCAGGGGCTGAGGTGGATCACTAGAGCCCAGGAGGTCAAGGCTGCAGTCAGCCATGATCATGCCACTGCACTCCAGCCTGGGTGACAGGGTAAGACCCTAAGAGAGAAAAAAGGAAAAAAAAAAAAAAAAACCTATACCCCCAAAATGTATGTACCAGTATTTTAAATAAAAGTAATTAAAGGGCTAGGAGCAGTGGCTCTTGCCTGTAATCCCAGCACTTTGGGAGACTGAAGCAGGCGGATCACAAGGTAAGGAGATGAAGACCATCCTGGCTAACACGTGAAATCCCGTCTCTACTAAAAATACAAAAAATTAGCCAGGCATGGTGGCGGGCGCCTGTAGTCCCAGATACTTGGGAGGCTGAGGCAGGAGAATGGCCTGAACCCGGGAGGCGGAGCTTGCAGTGAGCTGAGATTGCATCACTGCACTCCAGCCTGGGCGACAGAGCGAGACTCCGACTCTGTCTCAACAACAAAAAATGTAATTACAGTTAATGCAAATAATCACAATACAAAACATATTAAAAGGAGGAAAAAATGAGATAAATAATGGTCTTTGGCAGGAAAAATATAGGATAACAAGTCAACATTACTTAGCAGTTCTTGTAAACGCACAGTATTAATTAAAACTAAGATTAACTACCACCTAGTTAAGTACTCATACTAACCCAGTTTTGGGCTAAATATTCTTTCTTGTGAATATATTATCATAAAACTCCACTGGACAATAAGAAGGTAAGGTTAAAGTAGTAAATCAAAAAGAATGACTTCCAAATATCAATATTCAACCACTATTAGGCACTCTTTTAGAAATCCTGAAAGAAATAAGGCCATCAATCACTGATATTTTTATTCCATGGAAATGACAACTGTTTCCTATCATCTACTGGTTATGTGACCTCTGGAAAATTACTCAATCTCTCTAAAATAGTGATTAATAATTACATCTCAGGTCTATTGTGATGATTAAATAAAATATACATAAAGCACTCAATTCAGAGCTAACATGTAAGAAAGTCACAAATAGGCTGGGTGCAGTGGCTCACACCTGTAATCCCAGCATTTGGGAGGCCAAGGCGGGAGGATCACTTGAGTTCAGGAGTTCGAGACCAGCCTGGCCAACATAGTGAAACCCTGTCTCTACTAAAAATACAAAAAAATTAGCTGGCACCTTCAAAAATTTGAAGTGCTAATATACCACTCAACTTTTTAAAATATCAAATATTTCATCAAAAATCATTACTACTGGGGCCACTGATTGAATACATTTTTGAAATCTAAATAGATTCAGATTCAGGACTGCTCTATCTTAACAA